TTTTCTGGATCCAAACAGATGCGACAGAAAGCCGTCAGCACCTGCACGCCTCACCTCGCTTCTCTGCTCAACTTCTCTTGCAGCGGCTGCTTTGAAATACTACAGAGCAGATTTAATATGAACACTGTACCAAATGTGCTGCGTATTTTGATATCACTGTACTGGCTTATGTGTCAGCCGCTCTTTAATCCTGTGCTGTACGGGCTGAAAATGTCCAACATTCATGACATATGTAAATGTTTGCTTTATTCAAAAGTTAGCACAATATTGAGTTAGATTGAAAAAGAGTGAAAACTATAAATGTGTCTGGCTTTATTTATTTTATTCTTCTGTGTACTTCATTACTGCCATAAATAGGGCTCGTTCATTTTTCTGTAAAGTCTGGTGTCTATATCATATAATGTTATTTCTAACTACTACATCATCTCTCTTAGACAGCAACAAGACCTGCAAAACACTGAAAATACTCTGAGGTTGAAGCGTCTAATCAGGATCTAATCCTTGTGACATCCAGATTAGATTACTGTAATTTCCTTTATACTGGTCTCCATTCTGCCCTTGTTCACAAACTGCAGCTCATTCAAAATGCGGCTGCGCGTCTCTTAACTGGAACTGGCAGGTTTGAGTCTATTACTCCAGTTCTTTCCGACCTGCTCTGGCTCCCCATTAAAAATCGCATTGATTTTAGAATCTTATTGCTCACTTTTAAAATCATAAATAGCACCGTGCCCAGCTATTTACTGATCTCCTCAGCTTTTATATCCCTAGGAGAGCACTTAGATCAGCAGGCCAAATGGTCCTGGTACAACCTAGATCTCAGCTTAAGACCAAAGGTGACCACACATTCGCCGCTGTTGCACCCTACCTCTGAAATAATCTCCATCAAGCTATTTGCGCGTCTGATTCATTTCCATCTTTTAAATCTCGATTAAAAACGTATTTATTTTGCTCAGCCTTCCCGGCTTCCTAGAGCCTGCATTTGTAAGTGTACTGTAATTTATCTTTTTGCTCTGATTAATGTTTATAATGATTTAACCTTCACATTTAATGAATAAACTCCTTTCTTGGAGCACCTTAGCTAGCTCCACATCACCTATCGCTTTTTTCAAGCCATTTGTCAGAGTAATCAGACTCATTCCTGTTATTTTATTCACAGATTTAAATTTCAATATTATTTTAAATTTCTTCATCATAATCATGGAGTTTTAATATAAAATATTGATTATGCTCTTAAACATCTAACTTTTTCATCTAACTTAAACATCAAAAATAAATATTTACAGTATTTGTTGGGTTTTTTTCTTTAAATATTATTGAGACTAAAACTATAATGTAACACAAACTCCAGGCAGTAGCTCATATATTCATATTCATATTTGAAACAATCTGCACAATCTCACTTGATTGTGCTACTTTTTTTATTGCAGTTAGAGAATTTTTTTTTTCAATTTCTGTATTTTGTGTTACATTTTGCAGTAGTATGCGTATATTTTTTCTTATATATTGTCTATCTCATGGGCATGTTTTTTGAAAGTAGTGTTTTTTTTAATCTATGTGAGATTGACATAGATGGCCTTAATAAAACTCACTCAATCAAAGACGCACTCACTTTCAAATTGATCTCTTCAATTTAATTTAATTTGATAAAAAAAATTATAGATTGCATTTTACAGAAGTCAAAGTAATTCTCTTTCTTAACTATAAAATCAGAATTTGTAAAAAAAAGAAAAAAGGTTACATATTATTTTACTTCTGACTTTTTGATGTAAATTAATTAAAATTCAGCCCTTCTCTCTCACCAAACTCATAAGCAATATAATGAGATGTAAGTTAAAAGAATTAACAAATACATTTGCAGAGAAAGCTAAGCATGTTCTTAATAGAGCCTATAAACTACAAACACCTAAAAAGAATCTAAGCATAGATGTGATTCAGCTTCTCATCATTTATTATTTTTATCATATATTTTACAGTTTGCAGTTTAAAATTCAAACAAAACAAGTGAAAATGAAAAAAATAAACAAAATGGTGAACATAATCTTACATGTTAAGGCAGTTTTGTGAACAAGTATTCTTGTTTGCTGAGAGAACGTTTTATGTCACCAAACTGAAAGAAATTTTTATTTTTAAAACATCTGACCTCTACTTGAAGTCAAACTCCAGTAAAACAACAGAAGAGAATGGGGAGTGTAATGAAGAAAGTCACCCTGGAGAAAACAAATGAGCTAAAAAAAGAAAAGAAAAAGAAAATCCAACAGGTTTAGTTCATGGTCTCCTGCTGCCTCCTCCATCACCCTCTGGCCTGCACAAACATTCAATACTTTCAGTGATTTTGGACTTCTTTCTTTTTCCCACAAATGAACTCTGAGGATAAAATACCCCTTGACTGATTAGGTAGGACCAACAAAACTCAACTGAGGAATAAGTCAAAATGGGCCAGATTAAAGCATTTGATTTTCTGCTGCCTGTCTTTTATTCTTACATAACTTGACAGCCTCCTGTAGCCTCTGCACGGTGAAATATTATTATGTCTACAGTTGTCATCTAAATATTTACTATTAGCTGATACTGATGAGTGGTTG